AGCCCGTGTGCTGCCCCACGTCCAGAACCACTCCTAGCTCCCTGCTGAGTCCAATCCATACCACTTGATGTCCACTAGGCAATTGGAGGGGGGGGGGAAGAAATCAGGGAAATGCTCCGGGGTTTTTAGAGGGATTGTAGGATCCACTGTGGTCCAGTCGTTGAAGGTTAAATGGTAGTCTCTTGTGACCTCCGCCTCTTGTTGGACCCCCCTTGATGCTGTGATTTCTGTGGGATCTCCCTTCCATTCCGCCTTCCCTATCCTTCCTCCGTTTGCATCCCCAAGCCAGTTTGAGTTGAAGTTCTGAATTTGTTTTTTGATGTCTCTTGGTTCTTTGAGGGGTTGGATCTGTGTCTTAAACTCGTTCCACCTGGCAGTTATTTCTGTCTGAATCTGTAGCTGGACGCTCTCTGTGAACTCTGGGCCTTCAAGTCGTGCCCCCTCCATTTCAAAGGTGCAGCGCCGGCGCCAGAGCGCCCAGAAAATCGCCCGCCGTCCCATCCTAAGCATGTTGTCAGTGAATTCGTCTGTTTGCTCAGACAGACTCTTGGGCCAGGTTTCGCAGAGTAGAGCCTTCCAATCCCATGGCCACTCGACATTTGTCCCGAGTTGATTCCATACTCTGTCCCACCATCTCCATAGCCAGAGTGCTCCAGGACATTGGAGAAAGATATGCTCGATTGTTTCTGGCTTTTTCAGGGGTGGGAAGCCATTTATGCAGAGTTTGCACCATGGGAGAGCCCGCCCTTGTTGTTCTAAGGACGTTCTATCTATGAGCCAGTTATTTGTTGGAAGACAGCGGTGCTCGATCTGCCATTGGAGTGAGGACCATTTTGTCGGCTTTTCCTTAACTGTTCTGAACCATCGGATGGGCCTCAGCTCCTGGTTGCTAAGATTGAGATTGTTTTTCCAGCGTTCTTTCACCTGATCGCGCAGCGCGGCCTTTGGCCTTAAGAGCCTGTAGGTGGACTTAACGGTTAAGGCGTATAGGGGGCCTTTGCCCTGCCTACCTTGGGTTGACCACGCCCACTCCCCGGGGTCCAGCGCCAAGCGGTACAGGGGGGTATCGGGGTCATAAGCGATCCATTGGCCATCCTCCTAAAGTACTCGGATTCTATAGAGTTCCTCCGTTGGGCATGTTAGGTTGGCAGTGGTGGGTTCGTTTTGGATGACGTTACCCTGCCCCACCCTTAGGAGCTGCAGTTCCACGTTTCCATCCCCGGGCCAAGTGACCACCTTGCCCACGTGGCCTCGCCGGTCTGTAATTGCAACCCAGTCCAGTTCTTGCAGGGAGGGGCCTTTGCGAAGGATGTTCCACCAGGCCAGAGGGATCAGTTCAATTAGTTTTTCTAGGGCCTCGTGCGGCCGGTGGCAGTACCGCAGTCTCCGTCGGAGTTGGTCGGGTCCAATCTTGTCAATGTCCCAAATATCCTTTACCCTTATTACCCCATTCTTGATCTTGCTTTGCCAGGGTGTATCGGTGCTCAAGAGCATGCGGCCTGTCGAGTCCACCAACCCGCCTGTTCCCAAATAGGGGTTGGCGCGCCACCTCCTCCCACCTTTCAGGGTCTATTTTGTCCGGGGGGGGCAAACTTCTCCATGTTCTGAGGAGGTCGGGCCAGAAGGAGTCATGCCGCAGATCTGCTCTGGCTGCTTGTTTAGGGCAGTTAGAGGAGGGGTCCCTGTGTTCCCTGTGTTGCACCCGAGTTCGAGGGATGGGCCATTCTCTGTTTTCCAGCCAAATCAACGGGTCAGTCCCCTCGGGTGCATGCGGCGCTAAACGTGAGATTTGTTCCAACGCTATCCCTCTCCATGGGACCTCAGGATCAAAGAGAAGGCGTTTGAGCCATTGCAGAGCCAGAGCTTTGGTTTGCAGTGGGGGGTCGATGATCCCCAACCCGCCCTTAGTTTTTGGTTGGATAATAGAGTGCCAGGCTACCCGATTTAAAACATTTTGTCTATCATGGTCGCCTCGGCACAGGAATGCCGCTATCTGGCGTCGCAGCGGTTGCAGAGCGTTCTTGTCCAAGGCCCAGATGGCGGATTTGTACCACATGGAGGCCAGAACGACATTGTTGATGATGAGGGCCATTTTGGCCAAGGGGGGTGAGGAGATCCACTCGGTATTGGTTGGTGGTCTGCCTTCCGCTGTCATGGAAACGCCTAGGACCCTGATGGGTGCTTCCTTGGGGAGCCAGTTGATTCTAGGATGTTCTGGGGGTCTCACGCCTCGGTGGTGTATCCACCACCCGAGGGATTTATTTCCCCAGTTAACTTTCATGTCCGACAATGCACAGAAGCGGTCTATCATGTGTTGCACTTCCTCCATTGATTCTTTGGAGGCATCTACCATCAGTGTCAGATCATCTGCGAATAGGGAGCACACGGGGTTTGCTTCTTTTGGTATTGTCGCCACTTGGATCCTTCTGAGGTCTTTGTGGGACCTCAGGTTGGCGGGCAGCGCTTCCATAACGATAACGAACAGGTAGGGCGCTATAGGGTCGCCTTGTCTCACGGACCTTTGGAGGCGGATGGGGGGTGCCAGGTTGCCATTTACCATTACCCTGGTGGTCGTGCTCCCATGGAGGATCCCGACCCAGCGTCGGAAGTTCTCCCCGAAGTTGAGTTTGTGCAGGCATTTGTCCAGGAAAAACCAGTCCACATGGTCATATGCCTTCTCGAAGTCAATAAAGATGATCGCTGCGTTATTTTTAGATTGCCTTGCAAGTTTGATCACCTCGTTGACCAGGAGGATGTTGTCCTGGATGTTTCTGCCTTGGATAAAGCCAGTTTGGTCTGGGTGGATGATGTCCCTCATCACTGGTGTCATGCAGTTAGTGAGCGCCTTGGCCAGTAGCTTGTAGACCACAGTGAGGAGGGTGATAGGCCTATAGTTCCTGATATTGGTCCTTTCCCCTTTTTTGTAGAGGAGCGTCAGCACTCCCTGCCCCACTATTTCGCCTATCTGGCCGGTGTCCCAAACCACATGATAGTAGTCCATGAGGTCCTGTGAGAGGGTGGTCCACATAGCGTCCCAGAACTCTTTTGGCAGGCCGTCGAGGCCCGGGTTTTTTTCTTCATCCACTCCCTAAGAGTTGCTGTAAAGAATTTTGATGGGACCCTGAGGCAAAAGTTGTTCAGTTTATTTTTCTGCATAACATAGTTTTCTTTCGGATGTTTTGGTTTTATAACTTTTTTTATTCTTTTTCTTTTTTTTTTTTTGGGCGGGGACCTTCCCTGGCCCTTGCCCAGCCTGGCTGCCAGGGGCACCAAGGTGGCCCAGGCGGCCCAGTTGGTAGCCCAGCCCTGTTTCGTGGATGAGAATGTCTACCTTGGTGTTTGAAACTTGAAAGGCATTTCACGATGCAGACCCCAAATTTGAATCTCAGGGTCAAAGTCCCCAGGCCGAAAGAGGCCCGGTCGGCCAGTTTCAGAAAGGTTACGTCTGGTACCCCGGAGGTCAATTCCAACAGGTACCTGGTCAACAGTCACATCCAAGAAGCAAAAGTCACATCCCATAGGCAAAAGTCACGTCTCACAGTCAAAGGTCATATCCCACAGGCAAGGGTCACGATCCAGAGTCGAAGGTCACGTTCCACAGACCCAAAAGCAGCAGCACACCAAGGAAAACTCAGGGAGGTATCGGGCCTCAACATTCTCAAGTAAACAGGCTGCGGGCACGCGGTATCGGGTCCAAGTCAAGCCAAGAGAAGCAGAGGCTGGGACGAGCAAGGCTCAGTCCAAGTGAATATAGGGACTGGCCAGCCTCATTCGCAAGAAGTGTGCAAGTGCTGCTGAGGCGCTTGTGCGCTATCTGCGAGTAGCTGGCGCTGGAGCCCGGGTTGTGCAAGTGCTGCTGAGGCGCTTGTGCGCTATCTGCGAGTAGCTGGCGCTGGAGCCCGGGTTGGGCAGCGCTGTGCTGAGGAAGGCGGCCATAGCCGCATAGCTAGTAGTAGGAGGTAGAGCTGAGTAGTGGCGGATGTATCCACAGTCAATATCTTCAAGTAGAGAGAGAAGAGAGAGAGAGGTAGAGAGAGGGAGAGAGGGAGCGCATGCAAGAAGAAGAGAGAGGGAGAAGTGATACACAGAGAGACATAGTCACCCACCTTGGATGAGGATGTTGGATATGGGTTGTAAAACTCTGCGCTGATGAGCGCTGGTGACTGGAACTCTGAAACTGTTTAATATCATAATATATTAATATGATAATTTATTAAATTTTTGGAATTTCTAAGCTGTGCTTATCTGGACTTTTTTGTGTCTCTGGTCTCCAGTGTGGATTCCGCGTGATCTCTCAATGTGTGTGTGTGGTCAAGGTGACGAGCCGTGTGGTTCAATGCATGTTTGTTCTTGTTGTGTGGGATTCTCTGCTCTTTCCCTTGTCCCTTCTCCTTTTCTCTCCTTCGCCACTTCTTTTCCCCTTCTCTCCTCCCCTCTTTCTTGTCGCCGACTTCTTCTTCCCTGTCCCTTTTCTCTTCCTCCCACCCCACCCCTTTTTCCCCTCTTTCTCTTTTCCCCATACCACTGGGTGTCAACCATAGAGAGACCATGCGGAGGAAACAAAGTCCGGAAAGTCCGCGTGGGGGGCGCAAGGCAAAAGAAGTGTCAATCGCCATCCAGTCACTGAAAATCAGCCTATGGCCCTGGAGGCCTTCCACTGCTCACCAAGCTTTACCGAACTGCCAGCAGCGCACTTCTTTTTTTTTTGGGGGGCTGGCTCCGCCAGCTTTTGTGGTCCGGTAGCCCGGAGCCCTGGAAGTTTTCGTAGGTGGTGAAAGATTTATCCACAAGGTTGGGGCTGCGAACTGGCGGTTCAGAAGTGCCTTGGCCATGCCAATCTGCCACTTGCCGACCGTCCCAGCTTTTACTAGTGCAATCGATCCCCCCTTTTACCCTCCCAAGCAGTCGATGCAGGACTCTTTAATTCCACTGGTGATGTTTTCCACGTCGTTTGACTCTCTGCTGTGCTTACACTCTGATGAACTGTTTGTTTTGTTAAGGGAACTCGTGAAGCGGCTTGGCGACGCCATTGTGGGCCTGCATTCAATGATCGATGAGCACTTCGGCATCAGCGTCGTCGAGTACATGGCGGCGGGAGCAATAACCATAGGTAGGTCTATGGGCCTCACTCTACTACTCAGCGAATGTGCAAAATGACAATGAATCTTCTGCTAGAACGCGAAAAGATACGTCGCCGTATTTTTTGTCTTTTGTGGATGTGTGGTGAGTAGTGGAGCAGGACCATTTGTCTCTTCAAACTTTCAGAAACAACAGAGGCCGCAACTAGAGTGGTGCAATTGGGATTTCCCCTTTTTGTTCACACCTGCTGTTTCAGTACTTGCCATTGGAATTTCCCTTTTTGTTCGCGCACTTGCTGTTTCCGTCGATTGTGGGCCCGAGTACGCGCGCCTCCCCTCCAGTCTTTTTTGAAAGTTTTTTATGCATTCGGTCATGCACAGTGTGTGTGAAGTTGACTCTGAAGTCTGAGCGGTTGTTTGGAAGGCAGAAGGCCATGACCCGTGGGCCTGCCTTCTTTCCCCCGAATAGAATGTGCGGTCATTATGGAGTAATATGGACGNCGGTTGTTTGGAAGGCAGAAGGCCATGACCCGTGGGCCTGCCTTCTTTCCCCCGAATAGAATGTGCGGTCATTATGGAGTAATATGGACGTATCTAGACCGAAAGTTACTCCAAATGCCAGCTATAATGACCGTACGTGTTCTATTCGGGGAAATGATGGTAGCTCAGTTAGTACACCATTGAACTGTTGAAAACCTTGAAATACAGACCCAAGTTCAAATCCAGCTGCAATCAAAATAATTCCGAATTATCAAGTGGCCCACACCTTTTTTAAAGAAAACCGAACATAAAAAAAAACAGACCCGACCAGGCATTAGTCTAGCAGTGCTGTGGCCCACCCAAAAAAAGGGCTTATCGACCTGCCAAGCCGTCAGCAGTCGTGTCTTTCCACGAGTCTACATACCTGTCGTGAGCTTGCGAACGTCATCGGTTCAACTCTGACGCAAGGTGGGTTTCACGGACAATCACGACCAAATCAGCGCCCTGCAGCCCTGCAAATTTGCAAAGTGTGGCTGTTGCTTGCCTACCGTCTTCACCCAAATAGAACGCTCGGTCATTATTGCGGCATCTGGACCAAAAGTTGCCCCAAATACAGCTATGATGAGCAGGCGTTCTGCTCGGATGAAGACGACAGGTAGGCTTGCACGTTGCGCTTTCTAATGGCCTGAGCAATAGAACAAAATCATCTGCATATCTGATGTGAAAGTTGGTGAAACACACACTTTTCTGAGTTTTCTCATTAGGCCAAACGAAGGCTGCAGTTGTCTTTGTGCGTGTTTCTTTGAGGGCATGCATACTCACACTAGCACTTTCGAAAATGCATCTGACTGCAATTACGGCCAGACCTCCACGAACCTGACTGCTATCACGTCCAAGGCTCTCCAAGCTTTGTAGAAAATGTCCAAGTGTGGGACTTTCCTGATGGTTCTGTGAATGGAATTCTGAATTACCCAGGGACGGTCACTTTGATGATGATATCGCAAGGCCGTCACCCTCTTAGAAAAGAACGAGGGAAGAAAAGGACAAAGAGAAGGGAAAAAAGAGGGGAAAATAAAAATAAAAAAAAAATCTGACTGCAATTACGTCCAGACCTCCACGAATCTGACTGCAATCACGACCAAGCGTTGTAGAAAAAGTCCCAGGTGTGAGTACGCCCAAGTCTTTCTGGGCAAACATGAGATTGGGGAAGTTGCAAAGCCCTCTCTTTCTTGTTTTTTTTTTGTTTTTGTTTTTTAATTAACAGCCCCGGGGGCAGCTTGAGGTGCTCTGGTAGGAGCAGACAAATCAAGCTGTTCTTGGGGAGGCTCCATCTATTGGTGGGGAGTTGGACCTGTTGGGAAGTGGGCCCTATGCGAGGATCAGGGTCCTCGGTAGGCCTATGGGGCCCTGTCTGCAGCCTTACCCGCCCTAAGTGAAGGCGGAGGTGCCCGCCCTAAGTGAAGGTGGTCCTGGCTTTTTGCAAAAGGCCTTTGACTGTCAATTTCATATTTGGGGTTCAGGCAGTTGCGACGCGCCAGTTGGTTGAAAGAAACAGAGTGTGCTACGAGGCGCCTTACTTTCAGTGGCGGAAGCACAAAGCGTTCAGCAGGAATTGTTGGCTGATTTAGTAGTAGGCCAGAAACAAATTATGGCTGAACTACGGGGTCCTTGCACAATGGTGAGGCCGCCACAGTTTGCTGTAGTTCCCCCTGCAGCTGCGGGTCCATCATCGATGCCGCAACGCACAGGGCAAACTTTCTATCCCATGTTTGGCATACCCTCCCCGGGTGGTTTAGTAGCAACTAGTGGTCCGGTTCATTCAGTCTCAGCCGTACCATCTACAACAGTGGTCACTACAGTCCCATTGTCCAGCCAGGCTCAGGTTAGTATGCAACAGCCTGTTTCAGTGGCTATGCAGCCGCTGCAGCAAGCACCTGGGCCCATGCAGCCKATGCAGTGGATGCCCAAGATAGCTTTGATGAGTCCCAAGCCTTTCTCCGACGATAAGAAGAAGGAGGAAGACTTGGACACCTGGGTGAGAACTGTGCCTACTTATGTGAGGCATAAGCTCACAAGACCAGAACAAGAAGTTGTAGTGGCTGCCTCCTTTTTAGAAGGATCAGCAGCCCGCTGGTTAAATAAAATGGCTTAGTGCAGCAACAGGGCTACGGTCAAAACTTCGATGCCTGGGCACAATCCCAGACATTGGAAGAGTTCATACGGTCCGTGTACAACAGGTGGCATGACCCACAAGGGGCTCAGAAGGCCACTGATGCTATCAACAGTCTTTGTTCCCGAAGGTTCAAGAATGTTAGAGAGCTAACGGACGCCGTAGAACGACTAATCGTGGTACCTGGTGTGCGTTTTGACCAGCAGGTTCTCCTAACGGATTACCTAAGATGCCTACCTTCAGAGGTAAGGACCAAGCTGGTTGACGAAGCCTATGTTGAACAGCACACCTTCGCTTCTTTTAGTAAGAAAGCTCTGGACATCGAGGCCAAGCTAGGATCTGCGCATCAGGCACCCAACGATGGTAGGAAGAGGCTGCCCCAGGATTGGAAGAAAAAGGGTCAGTTAATGTTCGTTGACCACGATGGTCAAACGACGGAGATTGACGACTACTCGGATCTTGGGGAGTTCACAGAGCACGATGGGGGTGGTGAGACTTCAGATGGTGGAGTCGTGGCCCCCATCAAGGAAAAGGCTAGGGGGACCGGGAAGAAGAAGGTAGTACGGTCCATGGGTCAGGGCGACCAAGGGACACCCGCATGGGTGAAGATTGGTTTAGACTACGAGGTGTGGCGTGACCGCGTTGCTAGGGGTACATGCATGAACTGTGGCAACTATGGCCACACGTCCAGGACTTGCCGCGGCAAGAAAGTCACAACGAAGGTAGCCTCACCAACGGTGGTGGGCTTATCTTCGAACCAGGGGAGTGCTTCTGCAAGCAGCTCACAGGGAAACACCTCGGGCCAGTAGGAGTGTTAGCCGCTCTTACTCGCGCTGAAGTGGTAACGTTGCCTTCCCCACTTCAGGCGTTGGCCAAGGCTAGTGACCCACGTATCGCCCCGCAAACACATTCAGACCCACCGACGCTCTGTTCGAGAGTTGTGTCTGAGACCCTAGAAGAGTTAGAGACTGAGTGGTCAAGGAAGGACCCCAGGGACTCTTGGGCGATGATCAGTAGAGGTCCAAAGGGTGAGCATTTCGTGGTAGAAGTAGATGTAGGTGGCCGCAAGGTTGGCGCCTTCGCAGACATAGGCTCTACACGAAATTTCATTAGTCGTGCTTGTGTGGATAGACTGCGCTTAGGGGACCAAGTGCAGCGGCTTAGCAGAACTGTAGCTTCTACGCTAGCCAACAAGCACAAGATGGTAGTAAAGGACTATGTCAAGGACGTAGCCTGTACCTTCTCCTATGGAGGAGGGGAAGTGATCCATAAGATCTCCTTCCTTGTGAGCGACGAACTACCATTCGATATGTTATTAGGCATGTACTACCTCGAAGTCTCGCAACCTCAATTTGACTGGAGTAGAAAGGTGTTGATCCACAAATTGCCCAATGGTAGAACTGTTAGATTGCAGAAGTACAAAGTTACCACTCTAATAGAGAACTACGGGTGTATGTGCGCTTCATCCTTCTATAACTATTAGAAGCCGAATCAGGAGGAGGGCATGTATCTAGTCTTTGTCTCTGAAAAAGGGGAGGCCGTTAAATCACCCCCAGAGATAGAAAAAATCGTCTCACAATATTCAGACCTTTTTTAGGAGCCCACAGGCGTGGTGGAAAGGGAGGTTGTCCATGCAATAAAAGTTGTCCCAGGTAGTAGGGTGCCTAGAGGACGAATCTATAGGATGTCTCTTGCGGAGTTAGATGAGCTTCGCCGCCAGCTCAAGGAGCTCACAGAGAAGGGATGGATACGGCCTAGTACCTCCCCTTACGGTGCGCCAGTCTTATTTATTCCTAAGAAGGGAGGTCCATTAAGGATGTGCATTGACTATAGGGGCCTCAATGCCATCACCGTTAAGAACGCGGAGCCCCTACCCCGCATTGACGACCTCTTGGATAGAGTGCAGGGATGCCGGTACTTCACAAAGATAGACTTGAAGTCCGGATACCATCAAATTGTCGTTAGACCTGAGGACCAACACAAAACCGCATTTCAGACCAGGTACGGTCTGTATGAGTTTGTGGTGATGCCTTTTGGTCTATGCAATGCGCCTGGTACGTTCCAGCACGCGATGAATAGGATCTTTCATGACTACTTGGACAAGTTTATCGTCGTGTACCTCGACGATATTCTCATCTTTAGTAGGACTGTAGAGGAGCACGCCGAGCACCTGAAAACAGTGCTAGGCCTCCTAAGACAGCACCAACACAAGGTAAACTTGGATAAATGCGAGTTTGGTCGCACCAAGATCTTGTACTTGGGTCATGAAATTTCAACAGATGGATTGAGGCCGGAAGATGCG